AGTATCAAGTAATAGGGAAGAAATAACGGTAAATACTGTAGGTAAATAATAGACACAATATACAAATACAAAATTTATTTAAACATTAATATGGAATTAGGAGAAAGGATATATATGTACCAACAGACGAAATCTGGTACTATGCCCTCAGGCTCAACATACTCACACCACTACTGGGTGGACATACTCAATAACACATAACTCTTATAGTCACTTAGCACCATAAAGACCAGGGACAACTGCCACTACAACACTCAGTCGTCAGGGGTGATACTCAAGCAACCGCCATGGGGTCCTGCCACCATGGAGTACTTTCCGACGAACTCTGAAGATCCCAGTGGATTAACCCCACCACACAAATAGCCCTACTGAGTTAGACACTCATCCACCAATGATGGGGGCTGGTAGTGGTGTGTGGCTTGGTGATCCGGGGTCACCTCGCAGACCGAGCGTTAGGGCCAGACGAGCCAGCTATGGGGGCCATAGGTAGTCTGACGGCCGGGTCTCACGAAGGTAACTGATCCTACTGGACCTCGGACATCTCCCCAGACATAGTGGATACAACATCCACGCTACAGACACGGCCTAGGCTGCGTTTGGGACCTGTATGGGTGACGGGACGAACACTTACCTACTGTGACAACGACATCACATTTCAGGGGACGTTAAAGAAGTAAATATGACTTCACTCAGAGCATATCAACTACGTTACTGTAACACTTGCACAATCAACTATTAATTGGGTCAAATCATTTAAAAAAGGGCGAATTACAACACAGTGGAATGGCCTACCTGTATGGGTGAAGGGACGAGCACTTACTAACGGTTGAAATGCCCGCGGCACCCTCACTCAAAATAGGCTATTTCGATGAATTAATTTACTGTACATTCTGACGTTGAAACTGAGACTATGAACTCAGTTTCATTCCCTACTATTATCCTCACTAACAATGCTCTGACTGAGCTATCAAAAGCAAAATTAAATTGATTACAAAGGGTTGGATGGCAACAGGTCCCAACATACAGCGTCTTGCTACGAAATCCGTGGATTATATTCAAAGGAAACAGAGAAAATGGGGGACGTTTCCACTGGGGGACTTGGAAGGTTTTGTGGACGTTTGAGCGTAATATGAATCCTAAAGGTTTTCAGGTTAGCCGTCATCACGATTTTATATGATCCTGCCGGATCAGGTTGAGATATCTGAAATGAGCGACGCTGCTGATTGGTTGAGGTGAATGCGGTAACTGGCCAATCACCGCGCAGTCCGCAAGTGAGGCCCGGTCTGCGGAACTCGCCGCTGGTTGGCTGGTAAGCAGACGGCAAGTGAAACAATCAGCAGTTGTACCGCCTTCATCAGTTTCTGGGCGGGGTCCAACTTGGTTGATGCAACGGTGGTGGTGTTTTTCAGGTAAGTGTCGAGGGTGGTGGCGTTGTCCTTGTCTTTGGGGTGTGTAATCATCTCCCCCTTTAGGTTGGGCCGCACTGATAACTTGGCCAGTGGATTTAGTTTCTCCATCTCTGTGATGGCGGCATATGTCGTTTAAGTGTCCGTTTTTTAGATCCGGAATTTTGGCAGTGTCGTTGGGGGTGAGCTGGTGGTGGTGATGGGTGCCTTTTGGGCTGCTTGAGGGCATTCGTCTCCCGAAAAAGCACGTCGGCGTTTTTTGTTTTCAACCTTCGTCCAGTTGTCGTCCTCAGTGGCGGTGACAGTGGTGGTGGAGTTGTTGGAGGCGGTGGCAGTGTTCTTGCTTTTCAGGGCTTCGTGGAGGCCCACAGCTGGTCCACTTTCTTAGTGCGGAGCCGGTCGTGGTTCGGGTCGTCAGGTTGGCGGTTCAGGCGTGGCTCGCGGTTAGGAGGGCGTACGCACTCCATAACCGGTGGTTAAGTGGTGTTTTTTTTTTTTATATCCTCAGAGCCTACCTATTCCGGTTGAGTAAGTAGCAGAGGAATTTCATTACTCCCCATAGGCACTTGATGGCCGGTTGGTCGTAGAGTGGTTCCTGAGCTTCTCTCTCGGAGCCCCGTTTGGGTAAACCTACTTCCTAGTGTATGTGACTGCTCACTTATAGACGTGAGCTAAGTGTGCCTATTGGGGAAGGATGAGGATTGCTACCCTCTTTCCAGGTGGACCCGCACGATCACGGTTTCCTGGAAAGACTCGGCTGGGATGGGTTCTTGCTCCAGCCCCCTTTCGTGTTCACAATCTCCTGGGAGGGAGGTGAACAGTTACAGGGGGGACCGCAGGACGAATACACTTTTGAGGGTGCAGGTCCCTAGGCCAGAGCGAAAAAAGGAAAAATAGCAGTAGAAGGAAAAGAGCTCAAACCACGTCGGGAATATCGCGCTATAGCTGCTCTCCAGCTGGAGTGTGGGTCAATCACACCACCAGTGGGGAGGGCAAGCTAATGCTCGATAAACCGAAATTCTCGTGAGATGTTGTCGACGATGTCAGTGGTGGATGGTCCGGTCAGGGAAGATGGCCAACAATGGCAGCAGAGAGAGGGCGGTCTTCACAGTTCCGGGACCAGCAGTAGGGCTTGTTGAGAGGTCTTCTTGGTTCAGGAGCGTGGAGTAGAGTGTGTGTGGATTAAGCGAGCTAGTAGTGACGAGTAACGACTTTAATAAGCAAATAGACAAACTAAACAGGGGTGTCAAACATGAGGCCCGACACACTCTTGCATGCGGCCCCCGGCCCATTTGCTGCTCCAGCCTTACCTTGAGGAGCTAAAACTAAATAGTGAGTGTATCCCTCAGCTGAATAAAATAGTCCGCTGTATCCTAGAACAATATACTCAATCACCATCACCAATGAGCTCCAATGTGATTCTGTGTTGAGGAACAAGTTTTCGAGTGTTGATGTTGGCACATTTTATCAATATTTTGGACCAAATTATCCCAGGATTAAATGTTTTGCCTCAAACATTATGTCAATGTTCGGAAGTACATATGTCTGTGAACAACTCTTTTCTGTGATGATTTTGAACAAGTCTCGGCTTCGGTCTCAATTTACTGATGCGCACCTTAATTCAATACTGAAGGTTGCTACAGCTCAGTCGTTAGTGCCAACTTTGATGCGCTGGTCCATACCAAGAGGTGCCAATTATCGGGAAGCAGCAGTAGCAAACAATAAGATTGCTCAAGGTAAGTAAACACTTGATTTGTTTGTTTTTAAGGGTTTCGCACGAGCGCAGACTAAATCCACCTTTCTTATTTTGTCGTACTACTCACCTAAGAGGTGATTGCGAAGTGCTCATAATTATGTTACTTGGCCCGCATACTGTGTACTCATATTAAATCTGGCCCGCCTTGGCAAATTTGTTTGACACCCCTGAACTAAAGCCTAATAAGTCACCAAATCCCGATGGGATATTTGCCATAGTATTAAAGGAATATAAGGAAGAGCTAAAGTATGCACTTAACAAATTTATTTAACCTGTCATTAAAACGGTGTAGTACCAGAATTACTATTTATTATATACATAAACGACATAGATATAGGCGTAGACAGCAACACAAGTAAATTTGCTGACGACACTAAAATCGGCAGAGTAATTAAATCTGACGAGGAAGATCTAAAAAAAATTTTCACATGGTTATGTTAGGTTAGAGCAAAAAAAAAATTTACGGTAATTTTTCTGGGACACATGTAAATACTGAAAAGACGTAGGCAAATACAACTGCTTCTTAATTTCAGGTAAAATGTAGATGCGTTTATTTAACGCGGCATAATTCTATATGATACATAGTATCCTGTAAGTTAAAGTAAAAAAAAAAACAATACATGGATAATACAAATTGTGATGCCGTGTTTTTTATGCATGAGATGGCAGCTTGTTTGTTTGGTGTGAAATTTTCCGATAAATGAGTACATATAAGGCTATGTCCCATGTGCAAGCGTCCCAGGAAATAGAGCGACTGGGGCGTAGACGCACTACCTATACTTTCCAAAGCGACCTGTGTCCCAACTGCCAGAGTCTTCCCGGCGTTAGCAAGCCGTCTACGCATCGCAGACATTTGCTGGTACTTTTAGAAAATAATGCCTTTCAACGTGTAGTACCTGCAGAAGTACCCAGTTAAAAACAGCCTATATATTAGAGGAGGATGGAAGCAGGCGAATTTCACCATCACTACAAGGAACTTCGCCAACATCCAAAGAGTGCGGGGAGATATGATAGAAGTATTTAAGTGGGTGAAAGGAATCAATAAAGGAGATATAGATAAAGTTCTTATACTATCCGAGCAGGATAGGACTCGTAGCAACGGAATTAAGTTGGATAAGTTTAGGTTTAGGAGGGAGATAGGAAGGAACTGGTTCACAAATAGGGTGGTGGACGAGTGGAACAGGCTTAGCAACTTTGTAGCAAGTGCTGGAACGCTGGAAAGTTATAAAAGGAGGCTAGATAGATTCATGGATGATAGAGAGTGGTAGTAACTCTCGACAGGAGCTGCCATGTACAGGCCAACCAGCCTATTGCAGACTCCTAATTTTCTTATGTTTTACTGTATTCTCAACAAAGAAAAAATAATTACAGATTGTCACGTGCCAGGCGTGTTGTAGGGTGTACATTTGAAATTTGTACAAGTAAATTGCGAATTTTAAATAAAGCTATCGAAAAGAAGGTAAATACTACTGTTAACATTGCAAAGTGTGCTGCACTTTTCCATAATATCTTCATTGACACAGAGGGTCTGGACGCAAAGTCATACGCAATTCAAGAAGGTACAGTTGAGAATAACACAGAACCCTCTAGAATATACAAAGCTTTACAATCTTCTGTACAGAATTTAAGAGAAACATTTTACAGATACTTTAATATTCCACAAGGATCTATTTATTGGCAAGATCAAGCTGTTAACAGTGGGAAATGAATGTACTCGTGTAGCCTTCGTTAGTTTGGTGTAGAATGCGAGGACTCGCGCGACTGGGGAAGCGACGATCAAAAGATTTGATCGCTGCTTCCAGGTCGCGCATCTACTTCCCGTTTCCTGGTCCTCGCGAACGCTTTATGCATCTACGCGGGACACATAAAAGAAAACACATGTTTGTCCGCGCTTACTCGTGCGGTCACTCGATGCCGCAGATCGCTCTCATATGGGACATAGCCTTAGTCAAGTGGTAGCACGGACGCTACACGTTCAACCAAATATACGCTACTCTGCAAATAACCAGACAAAAAACTCTTGTTGCTCCTCATAGTAAATGAAAGTGCTATATGTTAAACTCTGGGTAGCAATTTGATTTGCAAGCCTTGTAATAATATACTGCCTGGTTGACTATATATTTGCAAAGACCATATATACATCATTCTACACACACTTATCATCGTTTCAGTTGGATACCGGCGACCTCGTTCTCATACTGTAAAGGAGGTTCTGAGGTCGATCAGGTGTTATATGACTGCTGGTAGACAACTGTGCCAGGTGATTAAGGAAAAAATAGATCAAAATGAATATACATTTTTGGTTTTCACGAGATGGGAGTTTATCCTTAATAGATCTCATTCCCAAAGAGTGAAGAAGACAAGTTTAGCACCACCATAAGTCTGTCACAGCAACCACACTTCACAGTAGGATGCACCTTCCCTCTGGCTTGGGAGTGATGGCGGCCTTAACTGCAGCCTGAAATACGTCTTCGCACCCAGTATTAGTCTTGGCAGAGCATTCTACATATCCGTCCATCTTGAGGGAGCGAGCCAGCTTCTTGCCTTCAGCTTTCGTCACCGTTACTGCGGGAGCACTGAGACTTCGTAGGTCTAATTTTGTCCCTGGTGAAAGATAATTTAGTTTTAGTGATAAGAATGGGATACTGTTAGATTCTATAAACTGAATTAAGCTGCACATATGTTGCCTTGGAAACACATGAAAATCTGTTTAAACTTCCATATTGATGTAGCCTACAACTGAAATAAAGAAATTATATCAACTTTCAATATCTTTGTTATGTGTGCAAAATTTTTAAACAAAATAATATCAGACAAAATAATCATACATATCTCAATGTACCGTATTATAATCTATCTATCTATTAATCGATATATATATATATATATATATATATATATATATAATCAACACCTCAACCCGCCAGGATTCGAACCCACGGCTCACGAGCCCATGACTGTAACCGGGGAACGCTAACCACTGGACCACCAGGATACCAGGATGTATATAGAAGTCCGCATGTTTATTGGGCTAATGAAATATATATGGATCCTCGTGTTTCGAAGCCGGATTTGGTAAAACGTTACTCTGACCACCTACGTGATACGGGTAGTCCCCATTAGAGGTTCACGGCGCCATAAGCTCGTTGAACAGGCTTTGTGTGAAATATAACAGAGTCTTGGACTGCTTTTAGTATCCTGGTGGTCCAGCAGTTAGCGTTCCCTGGTCACAGTCATGGGCTCGTGGGCCGTGGGTTCGAATCCTGGCGGGTTGAGGTGTTGATTGTATGTAGAAGTCCGCATGTTTATTGGGCTAATGAAATATATATGGAGCCTCGTGTTTCGAAGCCGGATTTGGTAAAACGCTACTCTGACCACCTATGTGATACGCCTAGTCCCCATTAGAGGTTCACGGCGCCATAAGCTCGTTGAACAGGCTTTGTGTGAAATATAAGAGAGTCTAGGACTGCTTTTAGCATCCTGGTGGTCCAACGGTTAGCGTTATATATATATATATATATATATATATATATATATATATATGTGCAAGTAAATCACTGTAGAAGTTCTGTGATCAAGGTATATGCTGATAACCACACAAGGAAACAAAAAAAACCACAGAATAGGTAACACATTTAAGTTCAGTATTTATAGGAAACCTAGTAATGTGTGTTCACACATTCATTATTATTCTGCCCACCATAATAGAGTCAAAAAGTCAGTATTTTCATCAATTTTTTATTTGCTTTGAGAATTTGTAGTCTGGAATTCATTGATGATGAATATAAATATATCTATAATATTGGCTTGAACCTTAAGTACCCTAGGTCTTTTTTAGACAAATGCCTTAACACTACTAAGAAATCTTTTTATATAACCGATCCTATGCCCACCCATGACCATAAGAATCTCTTAGTATTACCATTTCACAAAAATTTATCTCAAATTCCTTTACAACTGAAAACCTGGAACGTTAATGTGGCATTTAAAAACTCATCCACTGTAAAACAAATGTTAATCAAGAACTCCCCAACAATGCAGGCAGCTGCTTTTACAAGGTTCCTTGCAAGGAATGTAATATGTTCTACTTAGGGCCGATGTTAAGAACATAACATAAGAACATAAGAAAATATGAGTTCGCGCAGCTTGTTTGGCCTGTGCATGGTGCCCTGTCGAGAAGTTACCACTCATCATCCATGAATCTATCTAGCCTCCTTTTGAAACTTTCCAGAGTTCCCGCACTTACTACAAAGCTTGTTCCACTCGTCCACCACCCTATTTGTGAACCAGTTTCTTCCTATCTCCCTCCTAAACTTAAACTTATCCAACTTAAATCCGTTGCTCCGAGTCCTATCCTGCTCGGATATTATAAGAACTTTATCTATATCCCCTTTATTGATTCCTTTCACCCACTTAAATACTTCTATCATATCTCCTCGCACTCTTCGTCTTTCTAGGGAATGCAAGTTAAGTTTCTTTAACCTATCCTGATATGTGAATATTTTTAAGTCTGAATCAGCTATCATTCTTCGCTGCACCGACTCTAGTGTGAATTTATATCCATCTATAAACTAATTGAGGTGCCTGACTTATGCAAGATATAGTTGCACACTCTGCACTCTTGTGACTTAATTTCAGATATAAACCCAATACTCTGTTTGTCTTATTTCGAACATTAACGCACTGTTTTCAGCTGTCCGGGCTTACAAGTACTCCCCTAGGTCTTTCTACAAGTCGACTTAGGTTACTATAAGTATTTGTTCTTCCACATAAGGCTGCACTTGCTGGTGTTGAATTTCATGTGCCATTTTTCAGACCACCCCTGCAAGCTATTAGATCCTCCTGTAATGCATTTCCATCCTGCCCTGAATTAATTAATTAGTTGCCCTATTTTGGTGCAAACTGTGTCATGATCCTAAAGATTAAACGTTTATGGTATTTAGAACAAGAGTGGGCCTAGTACTGACCCCTGGGGAACTCCACTGGTTACACGGCCTCACTCAGATTTAACACCATCTACGCTGACCCTCTGCGTTCTATCGGTGAGCCATGATTTTATCCTATTTAAAACTTTCCCCTCGATACCATGAGCCTTAATTTTTCTCAGAAGCCTCTGATGCGGTACTCTGTCAAATGCTTTGCTAAAGTCTAAATAAATAACATCGTAATTTTCTATATACCCCAAGACTTTCCTAAAAACGTTAGCAGATTTGTTAGACAAGATTTTCCCTTTGTAAACCCATTTTGAGAGTCGTAGATTAATTTGCTTTTCTCTAGATGCGATCGGATGCTATCTGCTATAATTGATTCAAGAAATTTCCCCACTACTGACGTCAAACTGATCGGCCGGTAATTTGACGCTGATGCTTTGTCTCCCTTTTTGAATATGGGTACTACATTTGCCTGTTTCCACAACTCTGGCACAACTCCGGTGTCTAATGATTTTGTAAATAAGTTTACGAGGGGTCCGCTAATCTGTTCCCTACACCCTTTAAAGACTCGAGGGAAAATTTCATCCGGCCCTGGGGATTTTGTATTCTTTAGTTTATTTATCTTCTTAAGAACATCCTCTTTTCTGATAGTGATATTCTTTAATTTCTCTTCTTCCTTTCCCTTAAATATCAGTTCCACCTCCGGAATTTCATCGCAAATTTCTTCTGTGAAAACTGATAATAAGTAGCTGTTCAATGCTTTGCTTATTTCTTCACTGCCATTTATCAATTCTCCCCTCCCTGACTTTAAAGGCCCAACTTTGTCCTTGATCTTTGCCCTATATACCTGGAAAAATCCCTTGGGATTCGCCTTGGATTCTCTTGCTATTTTGATTTCATAGTCTCTCTTTGCTTTCCTTACATTTTTCTTAACTTTCCTAGATAGTTCATTATACCTGTTTCTGAGCTGCTCCTCACCTCCCTTTAATTTCTTATATATTCCTTATATATTTCATATATTTTAACTAGACTTAAACAGCATAAATATAGTGTTAGGACAGGCCAGGAATCTAATGCTCTGTTCGTTCATATGAGAGATAATAAGCATTGCATTGACTGGGATAATGTCTCCTTGTAATTCAATTGTCAGTAGGAACATTATAGAATCCAGTCTCATCAAACATACCGAATTCGTCAACATGAATTTGAGTAATGGTATGTACAAACTGGATAATTATGTAATTAAGAAGATTTGTAACCAGGTGAGAAGGTTGGGTCATCTTACCCTATGACCTGACTACGGACAGCTGCTGTGCTTATGAAGATTAGTAAGATTAGTAGGGTCACTGCTTAATGACCGGACCATTGTGGACATCTACGATCCCCTAGGGACTTGATCTCACTCTCCTTTACTGTATATATTAGCTTTGTCAAGTATTTCTCCTTAGTCTGTCCTCACCCCTGAAGATGTGAATTACAGGAAAGCGCTTGGGAACTTCGTGTTTTCTTGTTTCCTTGTGGTTATCGGCATATACTTGGATCATGCGCACCTACAGTGATTTACTTGCATATATATATATATATATATATATATATATATATATATATATATATATATATATATATATATATATATATATATATATATATATAATATATATATATATATATATATATATATATATATATATATATATATATATATACACATAAGAAAATATGGAGTCTGCAATAGGCCGGTTGGCCTGTGCATGGCACCTCCTGTCGAGAGTTTCTACCACTCTCTATCCTCCATGAATCTATCCAGCCTCCTTTTGAAAATTTCCAGCGTTCCAGCACTTACTACATCGTTGCTAAGCTTGTATCACTCGTCCACCACCCTATTTGTGAACCAGTTCCTACCTATCTCCCTCCTAAACCTAAACTTATCCAACTTAAATCCGTTGCTCCGAGTCCTATCCTGCTCGGATATTATAAGAACTTTATCTATATCCCCTTTATTGATTCCTTTAACCCACTTAAATACTTCTATCATATCTCCCCGCACTCTTCGTCTTTCTAGGGAATACAAGTTTAGTTTCTTTAACCTATCTTGATATGGAAGGTTTCTAAGTCCCAGAATCATTTTCGTCATTCTTCGCTGCACCGACTCTAGTGAATTGATATCCATTCTATAATAAGGGCACCAGAACTGAACCGCGTAATCGTGGTGCGGCCTGACTAGCGCAAGATATAGTTGCAATAAGACCTCTGCACTCTTATTACTTACACTTCTAGATATAAAACCCAATACTCTGTTTGCCCTATTTCGAACATTAACGCACTGTTTTCTAGGCCGTAGGTCCGGGCTAACAAGTACCCCTAAGTCTCTTTCATAAGTGACTTCTCTAGGTTGATGTTGTTAAGGCTGTATACATTGACAGTATTTGTTCTTCCAATATTAAGTACGCTGCACTTGCTGGTGTTGAATTTCATTTGCCATTTTTCAGACCACCCCTGCAGTTTATTTAGATCCTCCTGTAGTGCATTTGCATCCTGCCCTGAGTTAATCTGCCGCCTTATTTTGGTGTCATCCGCAAACTTGCTTATGTCACTGCTGATCCCAGTATCTTGATCGTTTATGTAGAATCTACATAAACGATCTACATTGTAGATTATGAACAAGAGTGGGCC